GGTCCCACTCAACTTTGCATAACAATATTCAGTTTGCTATTATGCAGCACGACTTCCAGCCTGCTTCCCAGCTCAAATCAGGAAAGTCCCCCTCTCTACCGTGAGACTGGTGGGAACGAAATGCACAATGCAACGAAACATAATTAAACCTTTTAGGGAGGACTTTTCTTTAATCTAAGCAATTATTTTTGCCACTAACAGGTGTAAAATGTCTTCTAACAAGAAAGTGCAAAACAGCAAATGTGCTTTTGAAATATGCAGCACAAGTTGCATATAAATAAGATATTCTAGGAGTCTATCTGCTTCAGTTTTATAAAGCAGATGTCTGCTGTCCTAAGCAAATAGTTCAAGTTGTTTCCAAAATATCGAGGCAAAAAGCAATAGAGGTACCATTTACACACTCATTAGTAAGAGAGGAAATGCATCTGCTTTGGAAAATTGCTGCTCACTAAAAAGCAAGTTTCCCTAGCAACGGCTACATCATACAACTCTTAGACCACTTCTAAGCTACAGGAGAAATTATAGGGAAATATATAAAAAGATTTTTATCAAATATTTTTTATCTTTCCATGAGAACATTTCCGCTAAACTTAGAAATGTCTAGGGAATTAAAACTTGCCACCTACTGAAAAAAAGAAAAAGGGGGTGTATCTATTGGCAAGGGCAAAGAGGGAAATGGATGGGGAATGGATTTCCTGCCTCTGGCACCATCCCAGTATGGGGTATGGTTGGTTTGGTGACCCTTGACTCCATTCTTTCTTTGTGGTTTTTCTTATTTCCTTCCTTAACCCAAGAACTGCTACAAATCAAAGAATTTCTAATTGGCTAATAACAGAGTCAGTAGGTAGAAGCTCTAAATCCCATAATTCTGTTTATAGTTACTTAATCTCGCTCCCACCTCCAGCCCCACCCCCAGTTGCCTGAGGTGACATCAACAGAGGAGGTGGGCATCTCTTTTGTCACCTGTCTGTCTAAAAGCTTTCATTACTCACATAGGCATTTAGAATTCTCTCAAAGTTCATCCAAATTTAATACAGAATATCTTAATTTTTCCAGGAAAAAAAAAACTAGAAAATATATCCTTTTGCCATGAGTACTGAAATATGTCTAAAAATAAAGTGGAACATCTGAATTTGCCAGCATTTCAGGATTGTTCTGATATGTATGTGTTGTTTTAATTGAAATACTGCTTGGGAATATAGCATATTTTCTCTCAGTGAATTGTTACCTTGTAATACTATATTTGAATGTACTTAATTGCTGATATCTGTTTTAATGCCATAAATAACAGCTTGTTTGAAATGTATTTTAATTGTACCAACTAACATTTAATACAGCTTATCTTTTTCTAAAAGATCACTTTCAGTCCTGGATCTGAGGGAGCACCCATGAGGAAACCAAGAGAGTAGGAGCAGTCTTCAACCCACCGCTTTCATGGTACCCTGAGATAGAAAAAAGAAACAAAGCAACAAGAATTAAATTCAAATGCACCATCCTGCAAAAACCAAGCTGATATCACCAGAGGAAGAATGGAGCTGAGATCATCTCAGTGCCTGTTCTGCGCCAAGCATTGTACCTACATTCTCCCTTTGGTCCTCACATCAACACCCTAAGGTATCATTAAAGGCATTTTTCAGATGAGGGTTTTGAAACTCAAAGATGAAGTAATTTGGCCAGTATCACATAGGTGTAGTGTTCGAATTAAGATTCAGATCCAAGTCTGTCTAAAACCAAAGCTTCTGCTCTTTCTGTGTACCTCTCTTTGCCCCTCCCTTCCACTAGTAGGGGCTGTATTAGTCAGCTGTTCATTTTTTCACTTGGACACCCTGGCAGAGGCCACAAATTGCTGAAGCTTTGTTCTCTTTAGACAAAACAGTTTTATTTACAAATGTGGATTAATTGCCAAATCTAAAGCCAGAAGATTTTATATAAAATCGTGATTTGGGGCTTTTCCTTAAAAACAAAAGCATAGGGTACCAGCCCAGTGGCATAGTAGTTAAGTTCACGTGCTCCACTTTGGCAGCCCAGGGTTCACAGGTTCGGATCCTGGGCGCAGACCTAGCACTGCTCGTCAACACACTGTGGTGGCATCCCAAATAAAATAGAGAAAGATTGGCACAGATTTTAGCTCAGGGACAATCTTCCTCACACACACACACATAAATAAACAAATAAAAGCATAAAACGATGTGACAGCACCAGGATTCCCCCATGACAACTGACAACTAGAGTTGAGGGATGGCTGTGCTCTTTCTTCAGGATTGATAGTCTCCAGATCACCCTAGCCTGTCACCCACAGTTAAGTTAAGTGCCTGGCTCCAGTGAGCATCTGAGTTTGCCAGTCCTGGATGAATGATACCAAGTGACGTCACCTAATAGTCACTGAACATTGTCTACAAGCAGGGCCAGTGCCTTACAACTTGAGAACGAATGCAGTGGGTCCAGCTGGGAGCTGTAAACAGAATGAAGGAAATGGGACTGAAAAGCAAGACTGAACCTGCGAATTCATTTAGACCTGCTTGGGTTCTAACCAAGGAGATAATGGGCCAAGGTGCTTGAAAATTAGTCATTAAAAAATTAAAAATGTATCCTCAGCTGAATAAACTATTTTCCATGAATTTTAGCTAAGAGGATAAAAAGAGCAGGGATCCAAGAATCCAAAAACTAGAATTCTTATCTCCACTCAGTCACTAACTCACCTTGCAATCTGCAAACATCACTAAGCCACGGTTGGCTCTAGATCCCTTATCTGTAAATGGAAAGAACTGGCCTGCTGCATGGACAGCAGCTATGTAGGTAATGTAAATAAAGGAAGACAGCGGTGGGGGACTGGGTCTAAACAGAGGACACTAAAGAAAGGGGCAGCTGCTGCTCCACTCCAGACGATCGTCACCGGGGGGATTCTGGGCTTACGGTTGTCAGATTGTGCCACTTTGCCAGAGCAGCCAGAAATACATGTGAGTCTGTGTGTGTGTTTTAATTTGAAATGTCTGACTTTTAAAAATATTATCGACTTATTCAAAATTTTCAAAAGTGCACGTAAGCCAACCCTACACAGTGAAACAAAATGCCTCTGGGCTGCATTGGCCCTTTGGTCCTCAGTTTTCTGCCTCTGGACAAAACTCTATTTAGCATCAGGATTCTGTGAGCAGATATAATTATCTTTGGGAAGAAGAGAGGGGTGTAGGTGGGTATGTTTACAGTGGAAAAGCTCAAAAAGATAAAATGTGTGGCATTCGCTAAGTGGCCCATTTTGCCATCCTCCTCTGAATCTTGCATTTTGTGAGCGCGAAGCAAGAGATGTGGGCAGATGCACTGTGTGAGCGTCACTCACAGAGACTCAGTGAGGAGACGCTACTGGAGAGCAGAAAGGGAGTAGAAGGTGGAAATTAATCTCCAGGAAGTATTAGAATTACACCCATTCCAGGGAAAGCCAAGAAAGAAGTAGATAAGAAGATTTAAAAACATGTACCATATACTAGACACTTTATACTTCTCATTTAGTCCATAAATCTTTTAAGGTAGATGCTGGTATTACGAGTCATTACAGCAACAACAAAGTACTGTGCATCTTTAATGTACCAGGTCCAGCACAAAGTGATTTAACTTAAGCCTTATCTGACCAGCACCCTGAGAGAGATTCTTTTATGGCCGATAAACATATGAGAAAATTAAGACTTTGAGAGATTCAGCAATTTAGCCCCAAATCTACAGCTAATTAATTAGCAGTGGCATTCAAACCAGGGCCTCTGTCTACACAGCACTCACTCATCACTCTTCTGCTTCTGTAAAAAGCCAGGGCACTGGTTCAAGATCCCACAACCAGAAAGAAGTAGAGTTGAGATTCCATTACAACTTTGAGTTCTCAGAGCCTCCTGGGTGCTTGTCCTTCTATCTATTCCCCTAGGAACCATGCCAGACAGCAAGTCCCCAGGATACAATGCACGTGAAAACTGTCCCCCTAAATTTGTCTTGAATTCACAAACTTCTATCCTTTTGTTTTCCTTTCTGGAACACAGTGAACACAGAGTACATAATCCCGGGCTCCCCTAGAGAGTGACACCAACACTGGGCTAAGATAATTAGATAACATTTAATAATCATTGTTTCTCCTTCTCCAATAAGGCAAAAATATTGGAGAGTGTGAATGACACGGTACTTAATTTTAAAAAGCAAACAAATGTAGAGCATTTGAAAGAGTGCTAGTGCACTGAATATATTTTCTATTCAGTTTGCCACTTGCTTCCAATGTGAGAAAAATATTATGGGCATTATTTCCAAATACAAACAAACAAAATCCAAAAGCAAGTTCGGCACAGAAACTGTTTTCAGCGGGGTAGATCCCACCACAACACAGACACCAAGGAGCACATAACAGACCACGTGCCAGGCACTATCCTAGGCACTTCACGCTCATGATCTTGTTCGTCCCCATCACAAGCCAACTTTCAGATGCAGACGCTGAGATACTAAAAGGCTAAAGAATATGCTCAAATGACGTGTTGATAAGTGGTGGAGCCAGATTTCCAATTCAGACATGTGCTCCCAACACCTTAGTAGCCTTTCAAAATGGTCAAGTGACAGAAAGCATGGTCTAATTTGGCCAAGTACATCATCAATTGTGGGATTTGAAGATTCCTTTTTACTTTGGTTCTTTCCTATTTTCTAAAAGCATGTGATCCACTTAGAGTGATTCCAACAGATACTGTTAGTATTTAAACTATACCTGTGGAAATCTTTTTATTGTGTGTTAATTCTCACAGATTGGTAGGGCCCTATGGAACACAGACACTGAAAATCACAGACTTCTTGGATATGAGAGAACTTGGAATTGCACATTTAATACAGTGTTAGCTAAATGTATATACTCACAAACCAAGATAGGTACTTGTATGAGACACAGTCACACAGTATCCGCTTAATGAACGTCTGGTGAATGAATGGATGGATGAATGGTGTGTCTCTTAAAATTTATTTATTTATTCATTCAGCAAATATTTATGTGGTGCCAACTATGTGCCAGGCACTGTTCTAAGCAATGGAGACACAAAAATGAGCAAAACAGACAAAATCCCACCCCTGATGGAGTTTACATTCTGATAGAGTGTTAGATAATCATAAATGCTAAGAGAAAAAACAAAGCAGAGAAAGTGTATAGGGATAGTTGGAAGTGGTTTTGCAATTTTAGATACAGTGGGAGGTGAAAGTGTCCCTGACAGAGTCAATGATTTAAAATACTGACCTTGGTAAATATTTTTAAATGCATTATTAAATATTCAAAATTTTAGTTCCCCTAAATGTGTAGTAAATTTAGCCAAATACAGTCAATTACTATTGTTGGGTACTTTTTATGCTAGGTATGAGAGATGTGATTTTTCTAGACTCTTCCAGAATAAATTGTAGAAAATCACAAAGAATGATAGAAAAATAGGATGTCTTACAAATCACTAAAGACAAGTCTAGATCATTATGTTTTGCTTATTTATATCAATGTCTGATGCATCAAAACTGGATGGATCTCCAAAGGAAATCTAAATAAATAAGTAAAATCCCATCTGGAGCCTTCTTGAAAACAATCCACTTTTGCAGATTGCTGGTGTCCTTGTCTGACCCCTGTGCAGCCTCAGTAGCATTTGAGACAGAGACTGTATGATAAGGTCTGTTACCCACATACACCCCTCCTTAGTGTCAGCAAATCACGACGCAAAGCACTTACGGTCACCAAGCAGACAAGGTAGTTTTGACTTTTTTTCTCTCTCTAAAATATGAAGATTCACTAATGAAAACCCATTCAGTACCAAAGCAAAATAATTTCACAGCAGCAAGGCCTTGAAAGTGGATACTACAGAACTGGGGTTAAAATTCAGATTACCACTCACGACACAACACCTGTAGCTAATTGTACATGAACGGTCAGAGAAAGCTCTATTCCCCTTCTCGGGGTTCCCCAGCCTTATCAATACTTAGTAGTGTGAAACTGCACGTTGGGCTCAGCAAAAATGTTTAAAGGATTTTATTTTTTTCCATTTTTATGATTATTTTATTTGTCCACAGAGAAACTTTTATCAAGGTTTCAGTCCATGAACTTGTCTTCATTTGTTCCTTGCTTCCTACAATATGTATCCTTTTAAAAAAAAATGAAATTATTTTGTTTTGTAAAACCTACTAAGCGTTAGTGTTTCCCCCTTTGTCATATATTTCAGTTATTGTTCCTCATTTTAAATTCATTTTCACACACAATGCATGGTTGCATTCTGATAATTGAAAATGTGCAATGTAGACATTTAAAAATAGATCCCAAATTTATGTGACCAGTAAGGCTGCCAAATCCATTTGAATAAAGACCATATATATATTTACTACTTAGGAAATCTATAATATTCTTAATTGTAATTAGGCACACAGAGAACTACCCAAATGCATTAGAAGTGAGACCACTCGAGTTCTTAGCCCTCAGCTCTATTCGAAATATTTCACTCTAGCCTAATAGCTAAATGTCACAGTTCCATGCCAAACGCATCAAGGACTTTCCTGGCACCAACGTGCCTACTTCAGAATGAGCAATATCTCAGAGTCATCAGAATTAACCATCCACTAAATTCAATTTAATGAGGCTGCATCATCCTCAGTGTTTCACCTTCATGCACAATTTATTGTCATTTCATATGAAAAGCTCAAAGCTCGGAAAACACATATGCTATCATATTCTGGAAAAGAAGGCCCTTTTCTTGAGCAGTTTGAGACAGTGGATAGCAATTCAGACTGTAATTGGGTGTCTTCTCAGAGTATCTGACAGAGTTCACACTGAAAAGAGACTAAAGACAAAATGTCAGGGTTTACCAGTTGTGAGAAACCCCACATTCTCCTTCAGCCCTTCAGCACTGACAGGATGAGCAGCCTCAAACAAGGGCTCTCAGGGCCTTTCTGGAATCAGACACAGTCCCTGGCTCTCCTCAGGAGCTCCCTGCATACCCCATGAAGCAGGGGAAGACAGGAAGTACATGTGATTGCAAAGCAGGACTGGAAATGCACCTAATCGGCATGTATGTCTTTTCTTAACTTTTATTTTTCATTACTTTCTTCTGGCTTACCAGAAAGAAAAACAATAGACACTGCAGTGCAGTGCACATAAAAATTGAGACAGAAAATATAGAAGTAAAGTATAACGAGGGACTGCCAAGTAAAATCTAATATTAGTAACATTAACAAGGACGTAACATCATTTTGTTGACCTCTAGTTAAAATAGTGCATCTCAGGTTATTTTAATTCAGGATAAAGGCTATCTTGAGACTTCATAGGAAGGCCCTAGTCAGATGTAGGTGATACAGATACAAAATTCCCACGTTTAAAAACAAGAACTTTAAGGATGGGGGAGGGGAGCTGGATCTTGACGCTGACCTAATTCATTAGGTCTGTCGCTTGATTCCAACTAAATATGCTGGCTGTGTGCTCATCTTTTAAAAGGCCTGTGTTTTCAACTGGAAAAGCAGAAACCAACCACAAGAGTGTTATTTTCTCAACAGTACCAGTGTGCAAACAGGTATTTACAGAGGACAAAGGCAGCGGGTGCCCCGTCAAGCCAGAGGTTTCCAGCAGTGCTGACATGATGTTGTGCTACTCTCCCTAGTCTTACACACTGAACAATAACTCAAATCCATCACAAGATCACTTGTCAGTCGTCCTCGGTTAAATGGGTCTTTATTTTTAGAAAACAATGGGAATTATAGGAAACTGGAGGCCTTACATCACAGAACTATAAATAGTTGCTGTTAAATGGCAGCCCTATGTTTTTGTTTTCCAATTTGAAAATGAAGTTGATATTTGAGAGGGGTTATTCATCTGTTGGGCAGTTTATGATGCCTCAGTGATGTCATCTTATCTAGGTGATTAAGGACCTACTTAACTTTTCAATCAGACAAATCACTAGCTCTCAACAGGAATTTTAATCAGAAGGATTGCTTGCTGTGCTGAGATTGTCCCCAGTGAACAGAACATTACTGACCTTTCCTCCACAGGAAATTTAAAGTTGTATCATTTGGCTGGTTAGGATTTCTGCCATTTCCCTGTGGATCAAGATTAGAGATGAACTTTCAGGTTCAGTGATACATTAAAAACACAAACACATAAGCTGTGAAAAGCCAGAAGCAGAATGATGTCTTTCCTCTGATGCAAAGGTCACCACTGATGTTTCTCATTCATTCCAGCTAACCACAGGCTCCTACGCTTACTGCCCCCATTTAGGGAGCTCAAATTGAAAATAGCTATACTTATGGGTCCTCAGCATGTTCAGTGCGTTGAGATTATCTGCTATATTTAACTTTGCCCTTTCTTTGTATGTTAAAGGAACAATTATTTCCCTTGTGACAGACTAGACCTAACAGGACATTCTTCTTAATGTGTAAATGAGGTTATATTCATCAGGATAGTTCTGGTTTGGTCTAGAAAATTCCTGACTTGTACCACCAAGGGAAAAAGAAAAAAGTCTCAAGTAAATACTCCTTAGAGAAACCTGCTGCTCTCAAAGTAAGCAATTTCAGGGCACAAATGCATCAAACTGATGTGTCATCAAGTATTAATTAAGTAGGTTATGGAATCACAGGGAAAGCGGATCCCCTACCCCAACAGAATCAACAAAAAATAACTTAGGAAAACTAGTTACCATGATTTCCAGTATTAAATTTGCAATTGTTCTTACATTTCAAAACTGAATTCATAAGTTGATATAATAATGAAACCCAACAACCTTTAGGATCCTACACAACACTCAATTAATGACTTAGGACTGAGAGAGGAACAGTTAGAAGGTCTTAACCTAGAATTACACCAAATACGAAACTGATTTAATAACCAAAAAAGACTCAGGACCAAAGTTTTATTATACCTTATTTAAAAGGTAATTTCTGAAACCAAGGTAAGCCTACATTTCCACCTCAACACTTAGCCTCTAAATTAATTTTCAATTTAATTTGTTTAGCTACACTGTAATATCTGATTCCAAGAGGATGTGTATTTAATTATCACTATATATCAGAAAACATTAAGAAAATATTTTGAAGTCTAACCTGTTGTAACTAACTAACCTATAGGTCTAGGCTTAGAAGCAGTTTAGAAATGTTTTCTTAATGTGTATAAGTTACATAATTCCATTTATTTTACAATCTGTCTAAAGGATGCCTTGTAGTTTAGCCATGGAAGGGCATGGGTTTTTATTTGTTCATTGTTTGTTCTTAACTTTAAATTAGTGGGCTAGAGACTGTTTTATCTTGATAGGCAGGTTTGATTTTGCATTATTTTCATGAATTGCCTTCACCATTAAAATGAGGCATCTATATGAGAGAAATGAAAGTCATTTTAGGATTCAGCTAGGAGCAAATGCACAACTGGTTGACACTCTTCTTGGAAACTTGATTCAGATTTGACATAAGTCATATCACTTCTATTGCAGGACATCAAATATAAAAGATATCTTGAGAGAGTAACTTGTTCTTCATAGCAGAAGAAAATGCCTCAAATTGTTTTTAAACTGAGTTTTCATGCTCTGTGAGATCTATGGCATTATTTTAATGACAAAAAAATGAAAAGTCAATAAAAATGAATGATGCAAACATCCTTAATTACATGCCAAAGGTGAACAGATGTCTATTCTTTCATCACAAGTAAGGTGGAGGAAAAAAAAAGAGTAACTATTGCACCAGACACTGTGCTAAGCAACGACGTGCAAACTTAGCTCACAGCCTCCACAATAAATTTTAAAAACTGAGTCGCAAAGACAGTTGCTCAAGGTCATACAGTTAAAAGTGTCAACACCAGGGTTCAAGCCCAGAATTCAAATCCAGATTTTGTCTGATTTTAAGACCCATGTTCTTCCCATTGCATATTCGGCTGCTCGCTTTCACATGGACCTGGCTCCTTCCCCATCACGCATCTTTCAATGCAATGACCGACCTTAGCGGCGCTGAGTAGCTAAACCGTATGCAGAACAAAGACAACTGCTTCCCTAAACTCACCTCGCTATTTCCCAGGAGGTCTCCCCCACCGCCCTACCCTCGGAAATCTTAGAGAGGGACACTCTTGTCCCTCTCTAAGTGATTACAAGAAGTGCCCAAGCTAAATGCAAAGAGATTTTAAAGTCATTCTGGCATAATTACCCTAATCAACAAAAACCAACTACAGCTTAATCAAACATTTGAGAAGAAAAAATTGTGTGGGAGTTAAATGAATTAAAGAGTAAGGTCAGGCTTTTATAAGGTGCTCCAGATTCTATCACCTTGCTCTAATTCTTGCATATTTCAGCAGTCACTTTTTTTTATGATTTCACAGAAATAACAAGTCATTTTAAAAATCCCGAGACAGTTACAAAAGTACTGTTAACACACACTGTGCATCCACATATAGCCCACGGCTCTGAGAACATTGGGACAAACTTGGAAGTCTGCAATTGAAAAGTTATTTTTAAATCTAAACCAGGTGATAATAAAAAAAAAAAAAGGGAGGACGTGAGTGTTACTGAACCAACTTAGATTTTTTTCTCAGTTTCCGTATTGTTTGCACTTTCATTTCTGACACTATTAGTGTCCTAAGGATTTGAACAAATCTAGAGCAATTATTCCGAAACCCTCATACATAGGCTGACTTGATCATACTGAGGCCTTTTATTCCCATATTCCTTCAAACATTAAGTGAAATTATTTATTTGTGAAGATTCTTTATCTCATTTTAGAATAGTAATTTCAAAGTTCCTTGAATAGTACATCAATGATAGAACGTAACGATTATCAAGATGTCAAACCAATGATTAAACTGTCATGACAACCCAACTCCATAATACTGTGGTTATATTTACACAAAACAAAAAACAGGCAATATTTAACTTAGGGAAAATTCATAGTCTTTCTGACCACTAACCATCACCTTTTTTTTTTTAAAGATTGGCCCTGAGCTAACATCTATTGCCAATCTTTTTTCTTCTTCTTCTTCTCCCCAGTACATAGTTGTATATTCTAGTTGCAGGTCCTTCTAGTTCTGCTATGCGGGATGCCGCCTCAGCACGGCTTGATGAGCGGTGCTAGGTCCACACTCAGGATGCGAACGGGTGAAACCCAGGGCCACCGAAGCGGAGTGCACGAACTTAACCACTCAGCCATGGGGCCGGCCCCTAACCATCATCTTTAAGAGCCACCTACTACCTACTGTGGTTTCGTGTCAAAAATGTTTCCTGCATACTGTAGGTTCACAAAGAATAGTCTGAATAAACCTAATCACTTTGAATTTAGGAAATGGCCGGGGCAGGGGGAACATATACTCTTTAACAGTGACTGATTTCAGAACAAAACACTAATAGAACGAGTATGAGGCATGGCACATATGAGGCAGGCCTTGAGAAAGGGCAAGGAGACTCCCGAGGGATGTTGACTGCAGTCTGTGAATGGAGAGTTATTCATTAAACAGCCCACAGAACAGGCTTGTTAGTACAAATTCTTGATGGAGCAACCAACCGCACAGAGGGCTGCTATAAACCCTGATTATGTAGCTAAATTTGTATGAATGGAATACTGCTTTGAAAAGCCTTTAGGTACAAAATGTTTTGAGAATTTCTGTAATTTCAAAAAGGTCCAGTCACACACTCACACACCCCAATCTTCCATTGCCTCAGTTGTTTTTTTTAAAACTAGCAGCTACAGAGGTACAGTGAACACAGATTTAAGCCAAACAGCCTTTTGCCTTTTCCATTTGCAACCAAATAAAATTTGATCTTTTCTTTCTTGACAATTTGTTCATCTTTCAGATATATTACAAAGCCTTCAAGGGAAGAATTAATGTCATTTTGAGGTTTTGTCATGGAACCAAGAATTCTACAGTTGTGCAGGAAAAAGACAAATTTGTTTTTACTTCAGAAGCTATGAAAAAGCAAGCTGCATCAGTCATAAGAGATTTTTGGAAGAAAGATCAAAAGATGGCTAATATATTTCTATAGGAAAAATGAAGACAAGCCAAACTCCCAACAGTCCTTGTCAAAGGCAGTTTGCACGGTGGCTAGACGACAAATACAGGCATTGTTAGCAACCCAGGAAAACCCCAGCAGAAAGAATTGAAAATTTCCCCTCTGGGTTCTCAATTTACCCTAGGCAAAACAAAAACAACTCTAAAAACAAACAGAAAAGAACACTAGAAACTGGACCAGACATTGAGATGATAGCCAAACAAGTCTAATGGAGAGACGTAAACATGCAGGGTATGGTACATGTAAATATTTTCTTCTCTATAAGAAGAGTAAGGAAATGATGAAAATGGATGTCCTTTCTTATTACATAAAAGTAACATGTATGCCTTACAGCAAGTTAGCTGTAGCTAACTGACGCAAATAACTGTTTCCATGGGTACCTTACACTATATAGTTTGATGAGAGCTGGCTGGTCCTAAAGATGGAGAGAACAATGTGTGGGTTCCCAGGAGGAAGCTCCTTGGACCACACATAACCCAGTGCCTTACATGCTGTGCTTGAGTAGGCGCAGCCTGGGTTTACAGAGGGTGGGGTCAACCTCAGCTCTTAGAAGTCGCATCGAAGAGGGAAAGGAGTAGGAGCGGGAGAAAAGAAGGAAGAGATCACTTTCTGTCATTGTTATTTACCCCTTTGTTGCCAAAGTTTCTGGCAACAGCGTATCAGAACACAGTCTCTGGTTTTACTCTTTTTTGTTTTTCCCAGATAGGATAGGATAGGATAGTAACCACATGAACAATTTACCTGTCAATGTAAGAGAAACTGATCTCTGGAAAGACATATTCTATGAGCATCGCAGGCCAAAGAATGAGATTAGGAATTCTGCTAATCTTTTTTAAAAAAAAAATCTTCAAATTGTCAGAGACGGCTGCCTGAAAAAATTATGGGGTAAGAAGTAAAAGTTCTGAAGGGTAAAGCTCTCAAAAGACATGACTAAAAACCATTGACAAGAACACAACCTTGGGGCCAGCTCTGTGGCTGAGTGGTTAATGTCGCGTGCTCCGCTGCGGCGGCCCAGGGTTCAGATCCTGGGCGCAGACGCGGCACCGCTCATCAGGCCACATT